AAATTATTTTTCAAACGACACAAGATTATTATAATATTTAATTATAAGTTTTTGATATCTAAACATTTGTATTAACTCGATTCATCCCCTCCATTTAAATTCGAGTTACCGAAAGACGACTGCATGTCTTCATATTATAATATTATAATATTAGGTATCTTAATATGGTTATAATTAAGCGATTTTAGTTTGTCTGTAATAATAAAATAATTCTTAATTCAATATAAAATGTTATCGTATTCGATTTTTACGAACCTAGATACTAATATAAACAGTATCAAAAACGCGACTCGATAAATAACTGTAATCTAAACAAATAAATAATATGTAACGGTGGTGTCGAATAATTGATTATTGAAAACGAGTGTAAATTAAAATATACAACGCATCAGTCAAATATTATAATAATATATGTGACACGCGTTAGTGTGAGTATTTATACATATTTATCAGTAGGCATGACATAATAATATAATATAATTAAGTTTGCAAATTAAAACTATTGCATCACATGTATACGGGTGTACCGAAATTGCCTATATATGTCGCCGTTGGACCGATGGCGAATGGTGATGATTATCTTTCAAACGTTAAATATTTAAATAAACATTAATCAACATAGCGTACATTTCCATTTGATGTTACACTTAATATTAATAAGCTCGTTGTTATTTTGTTACGATTTTCGAATAAAACGCGAAAGCTTCAGTATAGTATGTTAATATATTTATATTTTTTTTATAACAAACTGATATTAGAATGATTTTAGAATATAACATTAATATTAAATGTAAAAAGTAATCTCTGTTCTATCGATTTCACAAATCTGTATCGGACTTAAATATTTCCTAGTAATTTATAAAAAAAAATCTTATGTCAATTTTGAATATCAACTCTGGCGATTAGCTAACTTAACTGGCGATTGAATTAATTTAAATACCATTTATGATATTGGTGTAGGTACTATATTAAATATTACCTAGAAACTTGCATTATGATAAAATAATCAGTTTATTTAGATGAAAATTAATTACAATATTGCAGTTATGTTCCATTAATTAGTACAATTAGGTATTTAATATTTGAGTGTGAATAAAAAATAAGTTGAAAAAATTATAAATTATCTCTGAGCCGAATTAATATTAAAATCCCGACCTAATAAATTACTATACTCTACATCTATAATTAATATAAAAATCAAGAACGCGTAATTCAATTTTACATATATTTTATTACATTTGATTGTAATAAATTATCAATTTTCTCCAAAGCGATGAAAATTCCAAGCTTCTGTTTTTTTAAATAGATAATTACGTTTTGACAGAAAATAAGTAAAGGAAAAAATATAAAAATGGATTAACATTGTTAAAACTTTGAAAGCAAACTCGCGATTTTTTTTTCCTTTTGTCAGCAACCGTAGTTCATTGAGACAAAAAAAACATAATATATACATCTATTTATACGCTTTTAACAGAAAAAGTACGAAAGTATAATTCAATTTATTCCGATTCTCGTGACGGTGAGATGTCGACAGCTTTAAGCTTTCTACACTTAGTAAAATGTAAACGGTTTGTTGATTGTGAATTTGGCGGACAGGTGACGCCTCTGTATACAGTTTCAAAAATTGTTTGCAATAAACTTTCATATTATTATTAATTTTTTTTATGATTATCGAAATAATACGAGAAAATTACATTTCATAACCGCATAGGTATTTTTATTACCTATACAGTTTTCTACTGTCATACGTCATCACTCATCAGGTATTGTAATTGTAAATGTATATTTATTTTATATGTCTTGTGTATTTAGTGTATACTTTTTGGCTTAACAACATAATATTGAAATAGTATTATTCATACACAATTTAAGAAATACATATTGAATTTTAAGTATTAATGTAATTGTAAAAAATATTTACAGTTGTTAAATCCTGATAATAATGCTGTTTAAATGGTAATTGAATAATTAGTTAATCTGTACCTATGTGTTTCCAATGTTTAAATTGCTTGTATTTATTCAATTTGTCTTTTAATTCTGTGTATTAAACATATTATGTACTTGTTATAAACAAAAAAGGTGGACAAGTGGGCACCGTTATGCTGTACAGTAGTTGTCGAGTATGTCATTGTGGTGGATGAGTTAGATTTGAATTCAATGATAGTCGATATTTATCATCCACATATGCATACCGAAAAAAAACTATTCTGAGCTGAGACGGTGTGTCATCCTAACATGTATGTATAAATAATCAAATTTATAAATTAAAAACCACTTTATTAAAGAATTTATGGAAACTATCATAAATCATAATAAATAAAAATATAAAACGGTTCCTGCATTTTCGATAACATTAATATTGAATGCTATGATTACAGCATACCTACCAAACAGATTTGTTTATAAAAAATTAACAAGCCAATTCTGACATAATCAAAGGTCTTGATAAATTCGCTAATTTACCGCTGAATATCAAATATACTAAAAAATTTAAATTCAAAAACCCATAAAAAATTAATGATACTGTTCAGTGAACTTTTTTTATGTTGATAAATGTTAAAAAATTTGTTGTAATCTACTATTAAAATATCTATAAAAATAACTAATTAGCACATTTTCGGGATTTTTATGAATTTTGTAAACATTTGAACTTTAAATGAACATAAAATAATCATGTCTATGTATCTTTAATATGTTTAACATGCTATTAAAACATCTTATGAGGACTCTGCCAATACATTTTCAAGCTTTTTACTTAGTGAAAAAGTTTTTATCGAAAATAATCTAAAATAAAATTACTACGGGGAATTTTCCCTTTCGACTTCTCAAAATCAATAACTACATTCAATTTTCTATTGGATATAGAATTTTGTGTACTTTTACAACCCCAAATATTTATAAAAGAAAAAAAAACGTAACTGTAAATACAATAAATGCATTCCCTACGCTCAGAATCTAAAATAATTTATAATTTTTTTGGAAAAGCCAGAATTTCTCTCTAACACAGAGGTTACTAAAATAAAAGACTTTTTCGGTTACAATTTAGAAGTCAAGAATATATTGACGTAAAGCCAGAATATTCCTCTTTTCATAATAATTACATCTCTCTATACAGTATACAGTAATCGTTCATAATTTTTGGAGAAACATTAGTGAATATTATATGCCAGCCGCTAGCGCATTTTCTTTTATGGGTGACATCTTGAAGTCAATAAAGTGTACTGCTCAATATATATAATTTAGAATGAATATTCTTTGTGTTTGTACATGTAAATAAATTTATAATTTATAATACTCCAACTGGCACAACTGGCCACTAACTAGTTAGAAAATTAAAGTTAAGCTTGAAAGTTACTTTTAATGTAATTTTGCTTAGTTGGTTTTAATTCATAATAACTTTTTAACATAAAGAGTTGAATTGAACGCGTAAAATAGTCTAATCTAATGCGTTAAAAACAAAAAGTAACTTGTTATTTTTGCAGTTTTATTTTCTTCGAAAATCACAAGTTTATGTACAACTGCTGAGTGCCGATTGGATTAATTAAAAATATCCAAAATAGTATACGTTATCGAGTCATAAATATAGGTATGTTATCCACTGATGGTTATACATTTTATAACACCTTTGAGTTTTATGAGTTCTACACGTCCTGAATTAACGAACTGACTTCTGTCGATTGAAATTATGACTTATCATAAAAAAATATTGATTTACGTTAATAAAAAGTTAAATAAATTCATCTTCGGGCCTATCTATATTTACTTTTCATTGGTAATCTATATATATAAAAATGAATGTATGTCAGTGTGTCAGTGTGTCTGTGTGTCTGTGTGTCCATGTTACCATGGTTACCAAGGTTGCCATGGTTACTAAGGTTACCAAGATTTCATATCAATCTATATATATAAAAATGAATGTATGTCAGTGTGTGTGTGTGTGTGTGTGTGTGTGTCCATATTACCATGGCAACCATATCTGTATATAAAAAACAGTAAGCTGATTGACTGCTATCAACGCACAGCTCAAACCATTGGACGGATCTGGCTGAAATTTGGCATACAGATAGCTATTATAATATAGACGTGCGCTAAGAAAGGATTTGCCAAAATTCGCATTTTAAATAGGTGCTGAAACAGGGACATTGAGATTCACGATAGAAATTGGAAATTTTATTTTTATTTATTTATAGTTGCCATTGGTTACAGTCTACATTAGAAATTAGCATTTATTTATTGGTTGCCATTGGTTATTCGGGCAGATCAGGTACAAGCTTGCATCAAATCGAATTATTGAACAATGCTTACCAGGGTGGCAGAGTTGCACTTACCGCAGAAAATTACACCCAAAAGGAGTTCAACAATCATAATTTTTTTAAGAGTTGCGATTTTTTACGAGCAACCAAATTTATAAACTTGGTATAACTTTGATACTTTAGAGTTAAATCATACACTTCCGTACAAACAGCACGGGGTCCGCGATCTACCGCAGGTAGATTGCCTACCTGATAATGTACTGCTGCGATTCAGAATTTTTATCAGGCAACGGGAAAGCTAGATAAATTTTGAACACCCATACACGTTATGATTGAACAAATTTGAGTAGGTAGTATTGAGTTGATCCATTTAACGGGCGACGAAGTGCACGGGATCAGCTAGTATGGTAAATAAATGACAGATAGAAATTGTACACCGAATATTATAATATTGTTGTGATAACTAAATCTCTGATATTGACTATGATAACTAATTTAACTATGATAAGCTGTATAAACAGCTATTGTATTAACATACATTTAGTGTCTACCATATACCTAGTAAATGACAATTATACTATACAAATATACATTCAACAATAATAATTTTCGTAAAGATTTTACAGACCATAGTGTACAAGTACACTGCAAACGTTTTCAAACCGTATTTAAACTTTCCATACTATAACAATATGATGTATTGTATGGTATTACTAATAATAATTAAATAAATATATATTATCATTATTATATTGATTTGTTTACCTGAGCCACTTTTTCTCCCATGTTTGGCGTGTGCAGAGCCCCTTGAAAGAATTTCGCTGACCCATTGTCTTGGATGGAATACTAGAACAATATTGAACAGTGGAAGTAGCATCATGTTATTAAATTATCGTTTCTGAGTGTCTAAATACTGACGATTAGTGTAGTATAATACTATAATATTATTATATTATGTGGTCTTCGATTTAGGTAGGCGAATAAAATGTAATATGGATTATAAGTGTGTCTCGTGTGTGGAAAAAATTAAACGCAATAATTACTACTACATTACGCACTACATGCACTACAAATTAAACATTTAAACAAAAAAAAAATAAAAGCTATAACACGTTAACTACCTACATAATAGAGTACCTACCCGCGGTACAACTATTAATTGATTCGGTAATTTATTATTTTGTTTGCAAACAATTATCGACTATACCCATCTAACTTTTAGACTTTGGTGTTAAAATATAGTCATCGATCTCAATTTCAGATATATAATGACGTATAGTATTATGTCAATTTATGTGGGAGGTATATTACATACTATATTATACCTCCAATACGTAATATTAAATGACACCGGTAACAGTATAGTAAGGCTTATTTTTTTTTTTTTATGACAGAGTAAAGAATTGTATCGTAATATTATAGCTGCTGCTGTTGAACGACTATTGTTCGAGGAAAATGAATATTAAGAGTGAAGATTTTAATCAATATTAACGATACTGGATAATTGTTAGGGGCGATTGTAAAGCAGAACAAAAGTCGGGTGTAACAATTATTGTATAAACGTATTTAATATTACATTACCTTCGAAACGGAAAAACGTATCAACGGGTGAGAACAAAATGAACCAAATGGAACTCGAATGGAATGTGAAACAAAACGCAGGTAGGTCATGATAATTACGTTTAAAATGAAAACCGTACGACGCCGTTTCGACTCGAGAACAGAGCTGATGTTGAATATAAATCAAGCGGGGCTTTGTACAGATCATATATTATAATACAAGCATATTATTATTATTGTATAAGTATAATGTAAAATTGAAAGGTTCGCGAAACTATAATAGTATATTATTGTTACAATGAAAGTGTTAAATTAAGCCCGAGCGCGTACAGGGAGGTCCGTATGAACAGGGCTATCTACCAAACATGCTCACAACTATTTTTTTCTTTAATAATGAATTAATTCAAATTCTGATTTTCGAAGCTTTCAAAAATATAATATGAGAGTACTGAAGGAACATATTAATATGTTCAATCATTTAGATTTGTTTATACAATTTTAGTAGAGTAAGTATTAATAAAATTAATCGTCGAGGCTAGTAGTACAAACATCTTGTTTTCAGATGAAAACTTTTTTTTTTTACTTTAATTAAATTTTCAAGCAAATTAGTAAATCAAAATTTAAAGGAGTGTTTTCTGAATTATCAAAATGTATATACTACAGAGGACACTATAGTTCTTCAAAATGGTCTTAACAAAATATAAAGTAGATGTATTAGTGAATGTAGTATTTATTATACTCAGTCAATTTCCACAAATTATGAAACGTATGGATTATGGATAGATTAATGTACCTATATTAATTACTAAAATTGACGAATCATCATAGCTCTATAAATTAAGTATATTCCTAATATTCTCCAATATGTTTGCAGTACTCGGTCGGTATCGTAATTAATTATTTCGAACGCAACGCAGAATATTATCATTCGTAATAACATAATAATATAGTTCGTAAATCACTCAAACCGCTTGTCTAAATGCATGTGTTTTAGTCGATGATTAATAAAAAATAATAATAATAATAATAATAATATAGAGTCGAGTATGAAATCTAATTATGGCTATTTTATGATGTGCGACGGACACGGTTATTATTAATTTTACGACTCTCCACGGAACATTGCAGTAAACGGTTTGAAACTAGTATATAAGTTTGGATCTAGCCCTTTAACATATTGGTAGAATGACGAGTAACCTATATAATATTATAAATTCACGGTGGTGGATAGACCTATATAATAAAGAGATATGGATTTCCCTTATATGCCCTAACTTATCATGGCCCCGGAAAGTTAGGTATTGAGTATCATACTTATAATTATGTATACACATCTTATACTTGTATCTATATTGATATATTGAATAAAATATGTATTAGAGGTTAGAACGTGTAGTAAAAATGTATTGTTGTGGAGATGAGCGACTATTATTGAAATAGATACAAATATATTATCATGTTATAAAATTAAAAATATATCATAATATTATATTCAACAAATTCGTTGTGTCATTTTTTATGGTTCGCTTTTATGGTGTGGCATATTTTGTGCTATTATCGAGTGTGGCTTTTTAAACATTTTTCCTAAAGCAAAAAAAATGTATATCCGCCCATGGTTATAATAATAAGTGACGGTATTCCTCGGTAATGTTATCCGGTGTGCGCTCAGTGACGTTATTACAGTAGACGTTTTTGGCGCTAAATCGTTGTTGGTTTCGTGAATTTCTGGTTTCCACCCCCCGAAACTCGCGTGGTGGTCGGTGGTGGCGAAGACGTATCTGCTAACACTGCATATGACAGAATGTTGGATATTTCTCTCTTCCTCCAGTAGACATTTTCCCTTGGAAATATTTTCAAGCTTTATTTTCAAATTTGATTCACCCCACGTTTTATTCTTGAATTTAATCGAATTTAGGTTAAATATTCTCGAGTCGTGGAATACCGAAATATAATGCATCACTTTATGGTTTATAATAATACAGCAACCCCAATGAAGACATAAAGCTAGTAGGTGTTTATTAGAATCACTCTGTACGTTTGTGTTCAAACAGTTTATATTGACATATACAGAGTGACGTGTCCACCCTCATTTTTTCATTTAAATAATGAATTGATTCAAGAAACTAAATTAACCTTTTATTTTACAATCTTAAAAAATATGCATACCCACCCTGTAGTGGTGCTAACATTTTTTTTTCAATTGAAAATCATATATTATTCCTGTAAACAGTTTTGAGCCAGAAGTTTTGATTTATTGAACTTTGTATATGTTTGTAAGATGTAGGTTCTACAATGATTTGAAAATTGTTTATAATTTATAATATTTTTTTTATTTTGTAAAAATACATAAGTATCGTAAGTACTATCTGTTATATATACTATTACATAGATTAATTAATATTACGTATTATATCTTATATTTTTGTAACAAAAATTTTAAGTTCTATTAGTTCCTTAGTATATACATATCAATAACTCAGGAACTTTCCTGACAAATTTTGGTTTAGGTACATCAACGTTTTCAAAAAAATCATGTGCTTTAGAATATGTAATAAATCAAGTTGATTTTAATTTGAAAAAAAAAATAAGTCTATATTAGCACAGAGTGCTCTTCTTAAAAGCGTAATTTAAACTATGTGTATGTGTTTAAAAGTATGGTCCTAAAGTATACTCAGAACCAAGAAGTTGAATTCAGTAAACGACATGTGGATTATGGATGAATCACAAGGTGTATCAAATTACCCGGATACTAATAGTCATTTCACATAATAAGTGTATATTAAGCTGATCAATTATATACTGACTTCGTTATTTTCGTTTTGAATTTTTTTTTAGGGGTGAAAATGTGAATCATGATGTCAACACAATATGTAGGGCGAAACTTTGCCTATAGGGGAGCACCGTGAGGGGAGAGAAAAATGTCTCCTTTTATCCCACCTGCACATTTCAGTCGATGTCATCGTTTTAGTGCCACGCCGGATACCTACGTCATATATTATTCTCAGATATGCACGCGCACGACACTCGTTTATTAAATATGTATATAATAATAATAGCATATACGTATATAGTATATAAAATTATATCATCGTTCCTACGGATAAAATAATAATATATACGCGGTGAACCTAAAGTCTAAAATTAAACATAATAACGTAATGGAACGAGTATAGAAGAAGACTATGAGAAGAAGAAAAAGAAGAAGAAGATGAAGAAGATGAAGAAGAAGAAAAATGACGATACCATAATCTATATATTATGTGAAAAATAATACCAGAACACAAATTGTGATTGAAAGGCGCATCGTTATTATTGCATTCATGTGTGTGTGTGGGTATTTTGGCCGCGGACCAAATAACAGAGGAACGCGTTCATTAGGCCGGTCATGAATCGTTAACAATGTCGGGAAAAAAAAAGTAGAAGTGCGATTTTTTAACGACGACGTTTATTCGTTTTGAGAAAAGGACGTCGGCCCTCCCTTCCCCGCCTCCCCTTGGCGTTCAACATGGCTCGGACATCAATATAGATATATCTTTTTGTATACGCTCTTCTTTATTCTAGTTTTTTTATTTTGTGTTTTCTCACTTCTCATTATAACGTTATTATGTTTACCCTACAGAAAACGTCCATTACTTTTCGATCCACCAAACTTCTGCGATATAATATAATATTATGACTACCCGCCGACGTCCAGCTGCTTATATAATATATTATTATTTACTCTTAAAATGTTTCGCCAGGCCAATGTGAAGTGATAAAACTGTCAACCCAAAAAAAACTTTACGTTCCTGTGTTATATGTATTACCTATATATTAACATACGATTTATTATATTTTGTTTTGTTATAGTACAGACTTTGAGAATATTATGTACCTACAAGCTACAGCTCACACCTACTTTGAGTATATGTATTATACGTATCAATTGTTATGATACGAGGTAAAATCAGACAAATTTTGTGAAAATCAAAATTAAAGGGAAAACGATGACAAGTCGTTACTGTTGTATCCATTAAGGGAAAAATTAATTTAAGATTATATTTCGTAGGTTTTTCAATAATGACATTTTAGCAAGGCTGGGCAAGTTAATGATTTTTTTTAACTCAGTTAAGTTAAGTTAAATATTTTTTGTTCAATTAAATTAGAAGTTAAGTTAATATAAATTTGTAATACATCAATTAAGTTTAAAGTTAAGTAAACAAATTGTGTTAACTTAACTTCAATTAAGAGGTTAAGTTAATAAAAAAAAAAATTATTACGAAAATATCTTCTTTTTTTTCAACAATATTTTCTAATATTCTACAAATTTTAAATCGACGAACCGTTATAGACTAAAATATATTCTAGATAAAAACGAAAATTCAAAATTAACTTAATTGGTAATATTAAAAAAGTAGAAGTTGATTTTAAGTTAACGCAGTTATAAATGATTTAAGTTAAGTTAAGTTAATTAAAACAACGAACTAGTAAGTTAAGTTAATAAGTTAAAATTAACTTAACTTTTAACTTAACTTTTAACTTATTAACTCGTTAATGCCCAGCCTTGCATTTTAGTTTGTAGATTTGACACGTATAGTGTAACCCATAGGTAAATATTGGATTGAATTTTAGGGGAGGGGGGTTTGAATATTTTTGGGAGGTATGCCAATCTCCACCCATGGCAAAACCTACGAAAGATATGTTACAAACAAAATTAATGTTTTTACATACGTTTTTTTTTGTCATACCTACTAACAACCATATTGTATCAATTATTCAAATGTTTTATACGTTAAGCTTAATCTAACTTATAAAGTTAGGTACCTACTTACATTTTTTTTTTTTTATTTGATCTTAAATTACTTGTACAGAAATTAATAGTGCTTTTCCAAACAAAAAAAAAACACATTTTTTTAAGACTAATAATGTTCAGTTTACTTCTATAATTATATTTATTTGTACCAATAATGAAATAGCTAGTGTTGTATGCTATATAGATATTAATTATTTAATAAAACAGAGCTATGGGTTTTGGCAAACGTAATTTAATTATATTTGCTTAAAATCAAAATATAGGAAATAATGTAATTAACCACTACAAACTTTTGTTTTTTATTTCAATAACTCATGCATTTTTTCCTACAACATGCACAGTAATATCTAGAGAAATAGTTTTATTATTTCACATAAAAAATTCAAACATTAAACGTAATTAATTGCATAACATAATTAAGCTAAAATAATTACAATAATGTAACTTGTATTAGTATTTATAGTGTCCATACTCTTACTTCAGTGTTGTTATCGTAATCAATATATTAAAAACAAAAATTTAAACACTCAAAATATAAAAACAAAAGCATATTTACTAAGCACTTATGCATGTAGTTAGAAGAAATAGAAATTCTAGTAACTGTGTTATAATAATATGTGTCTATGACTATAATTGTGTGGATTAAATGCAGCGTGAATATGTGTTTTCATAGGTTAGTCGGTCGAGTTTTTAACGATGTTTGGCATAGTAACACGTAAATTTTCCTAAAAAAAATCTCATATCCTTCGAGTAGGAGGTAGGTAGTAGGTATGTGTCAGTAGGTACTCAGTGGTTCGGAATTTCAGACTTAAATATATGTGACGTAATTCATGCTTCTCCTATTAGAGTAGTTATGGAATATTATAGATACTAACTTCGATGTCAAGTACACTATCACGAATACGCATTTTGTTTTTATAATTTATTATCTTTAAAATACTCTTAGTGGGATACCTACGTCTGCTGAATAAATTCTAACAGTCATCATTTATGGATGACACCTACGTACAAAACGGATCTATATTTCCACTCTATTTTGTATTATATTATACGCCTACTCTGAATAAAATATCGTTGTTGTAAGCTATATGACGGTTTAAAACGTATTTATCAAAAATAAAAATTCACCCAGCTTCCCCGTTGCTGCAGTGGCTATAGTCGCGATGTTCGTTAATCGTGTGAAAAACAAAATGTGTATCAGCGGTATTGATAATAAATTACGTTACTGCTTGGTTCATAGAATAATAATAATAATAATAATAATAATAAAGGAAGTATAGGTACATGTAGTCTTATACATTATTATTATTAAATTGAAAGTGGGTAGATAAATGTCTTTGGGAAATTAAAGTGACAAAACCACGGCGGTGGCGTTTAAGAGCGAGTTGATTGATTCGATCGTTTCAGCGGCTACTGCTGCTGTTGAATGTATTATTATTATTATTATTACTATTATTTTAACCCCTTAAAAAATAACAATAATAATAGCTGCTTGTAATCGCATCATTTCCACCTACTTTGTATTTCAAGCTGTCCGTGGCCAGGTTTCCCAACGACGTAGAATGGTCCCATAGCGTTGACGTATTGTACTTCTGCAAGTCGGTTTCAGATGACGTGTTCGGAAAACTTTTTCCGGTAAAATGGCTCCTGTAGGCTACGAAATTCCAGTAATTAATATACACCGACGTTCACAGTAAAGGTGCGCCGGTGATGGGCAAATACAAACAACGTTTGCTACTGGCAAAAGCTGTGTGGGTTTAGTGTTAACGTATGAAATGCGTTTAATTGCTAATTATAATTGGTAATATCTTAAACTTACCATTAAAAATTAAACGAAAAATAAATTCGAAGTAGGTATTAAAAAAAAATTTTAAAAAATTAAGCCGTACGCGGATAAGCTAAGGTATAGTAATTACACATCTATTATATATTATAGTGGTTTGTGACTTTATTACGTTTTATTATACAATTCGTTTTAGTGCTTGGATAAAAAAGTACAAATATTTGAATCTACTTTCGTCAAAAAACAAATCTGAAGTCCTAGAATTTAAATTTATATTTAGTTCAAGTAAATCTCTATTTAATTAATGTAATATAAGTGGATATTAGCTCCCAACATTATAATATACTAGCTGATCCCGTGGTTGCCCTTAAAAATTTGTGATTGTTTAAATCTTTTTGGGTGTAACTCGCAACAGTAAGTGCAATTCATAATATATAAAGTGCTTCAATATATTTTATTAAAAAAAAAATAATAGTCATAATTATAATATTATGGTCTATTTAATTTAAGTATAGATTGATGACAATTTTGAAATATTGAATAAATTGCTCTTTATTGTCATATTATTATTATATTTTATTTGATATAGAGTATGTAATATTTTATTATCAATAAATATAATATTGGAGTAGGTACCTATTAATATATTATGAGTTTATGACATTGAACGTTATTAAAATTATTATTATATGAATATTTAAATACTTACGAGGATATCATATGAACTTAGTTTTCTCTTTCTCTGACCCGTACGAAACATAGCAAATTTGAGTTTAGCAGAACCAATTTTGCTTTATAACCTTGAATTATTATACTATCAACCCTAAGGATAAGGATATTCTCTTGGGAACTTTGTAGAATTTTATCGGTACTTAAATTTTAAAGTGAGTTACCTATAATAGCTGTATAAAATAATACAAATTAAAAATGTACATAACTAGATTTAAAGTTAAAATACCAATAAAGCCTACTTAGTGAGTAGATAATATTCTTTACTTTAAGTTTGCTAATAGGTTATTTGACTCTGATATTGAACCTGACAATACAAAATTGGTTCTGCTGAACGCGAATTTAGTATAGGTATTTCAACTGGTTTGAAATGATAAAACGAATAGTCCTCTTAATACTTCCTGATATTCAATAAAGATTAGGCTCAATAAACCCATTTTAGAAATGTTAATTTAAGTACAATAAAATTGACTGCAATAAAAATAGTATAATTTGAATTTATTATTTTTTACTATATAGGTATAAACTAAAATTTAATGGCTGTGTGATTAAGTAGGACTCATAGCATCATGCATAATTATTAATTAGTCAATTAGTAATAGCATGCTAGTAACTAATAAATTAATAAACTATTAGAATTAATAAATTTAATAATATTCGAATTGTATATGTGATGTGTATTAATATTTTGGATTTCCTTTTTACTTATTTTATTATTATTTTACTTTACTTATAAACTATTTTAATTTATGTATAGCAATTTACAAACTATATATACAGAACAACTAACAAGTAGGAACCGAAGTTGCACATTTAGTCAATATGTCATATTTTTAACATACAATGGCCATACTTCTTGATTTACAACTTTAAAAATGATTGTATTCTTAGGTAGACATTTTTTTTTAAATATGTAGGAAGGTAGCTTTTTTGAATTTAATATTTGTATTTTATTTTAGTTAATATTGCATTTGGTTCGTAATTAGTTGTTATTATTTTATATTAGGTACCTACTACAATATTTGCTTATACTACTTAATATTTATGCAGTATCGAGCAGCATAATATTGTTATCAATCGAAACGGTAGAGAACCATTCGAATATTTTGTTAAAATATTAGGTTTGGCATTCAACACGCAGTTAATAATAATTACTTTAATCGTTCAAACGTTAAAGTTTACGGCAGTGATATAATTAATATATTAGACGATTTATCATCTTTCCGGTGTATTGTATTATATTTTTATAAAACATAATTAAATTTAGGAAGAATAACTGTTTTATAATAACACAAATTATTGTCACAGAGTTGAAAACTTTTAGAAATTAAAACTGTAATTAAATAAAATAATAATAGTAATGAAAATGTATATTTTATTTATTCATCACCTATAACATTATTTTTTATGTCTGTCACATGCTGCATAATATTAGTTGGCAAAACCGCTCTACGCATTTCTCAAATTTTAAAATAAAAAATGCAAAGTTACATTATTCTTTATGGGACATAATATTATGAGCATGTGAAAGACACAATCCAAGTATACACTGTATTTTATAGAAAATGTATATCTTATATAAAATCGCTCTTTTTAACATTATTAATCGTATTTTAATATGATAATATATTATCACTTTACTTTAATCCCTGAGTGATCAATTTCACTGACTTCATCCGTGCAACATAAATCCTCAAAATGATATGATTATCGAAGTATTTTGAAGAATAAATTAAATTCCAATCAGACAAATGTAGATTCAAACTAAAAAGAGTTAGTATTAAATACAATACTTATAAACTATATATTATTATTCTACAGTTTGTGTGATGTGTAATCAGCCATAACATTACGAATTGTACATCTCAATAACAATTATTAAGTATAGTTAGGTCGTTACAATGGAATTTCCGTATCAAATATTTGAATAGAGAAAAATATGAACGATTATTGTAAGTATACATTTTTAAATAATAAAATTTCCAAAAAAAAAAACATTATGAACTACCACTAACAGACTAATAATAATAATTTAAAATTAAAACATTACTGGAGTTATTTGATAAATTAAAATGTTTTCATCAAAAAGTTTGCAACAAATAAAGTTCTATATAGTAAAATGTAAACTTATTATTTAAAACTAGTACAATTTATCAAACAAAATGTATTTGGTATTTAATTTTTTTCTACTCAAAATTATTAATGTGAGGGCCAGATATTATATATTTTTTTTGTTATTAATATTATGTACTGAAGTTCCACTGTACTCAAGCAAAAAACGTTTTTTTATGTATTTACTATAGGCTTAAAAACCAACAAAAATGATATTGAATCAGTGATAAATGCGTTTACAAAAAATAATTCAAATAATATTATGCCGGTACTTTTTTCGAGTTCAACTATACTAAATTTATAATGAATACCTACGCTAAAACTAAATAATAGGTACACTACACTTCTAGTTTCTCTATCTGCTATTTTATAATTATATAATATTAACAACGCCGTCGTTGGTATTTTTTTTTTATATATATATATAATATAATATCAAATTTTGGGTAATTTGATTCGGTTTTTACTATTATTATTATTATTGTCATCATCGTTGTTATATACCTTCGGTAATGATATCGATAGTGTGTGGTCGTTTCGGTCTTTGCAATTGGTCCTTTTCAACGCGCGACGCCACTATAGCAGCAAACCATGCGAAGGATGAACACAAACGGTAGTTAAACGCAATAGACACACAATATAGAAAATACATAGAAACAGGACAGTCAAAAAACAAAAAAAAAAAAAAAAATCAACGCACTGAACCACAAAATAGTATGTACAACAGTTCTCGTACGAGCTGTTGATGCACATTATTGTAATATTATGACGTACTTACATACAGAATCCGTGTTGGATCGTGCGGGTGGACTGCCGCCGAACGATGGATTTCGGTCCGGAGATTTGTTGGGAGTCCGTGGCGGCGAAGGGTGATCGGCTGTCCTGTGGGGTTGACTGATCTAAAATGAATGCACATACACACGCATATCCATAAACACACCCACACGCACACACACACCCACACGCACACAAACACACACACACACACACATCGTATATTTTGAAATGTTATAAAAATTACAATGCGTACATAATATTATTATTATTATGTGCCAGCGATACCCGATTGAGCATGGTAAATTTTTTTTTCAACATCCCATTTGAGAGAATAGAAAAAATAATAAACAATTAAGTAAAGACGTTGTCCAATGTCAAATAGTATTTTTTTTCTATGTTAGCATATTGAGTATAGAGTAATTTAAATACAAATGTTAGTCATTATACACTGTATACCTAGTTGTCGTGTTTACTCAACTTTTCTGACATTGTTTTGTGATATTTGGAAATTTACAGCACAGTTTTTTTTTAAGCATTCTTTTAAACTTATAATGGTTTACTTTTAAACATAAAAAAAAATAATAAATACGGTAACGTCGCACTTATTTTTGGTGCTCAATCGTGTCATATTTTGGTATTATTTTTTGTGACTTTCTGTAGTTCGATGTTCGATTGCATTTGTGCTGCTCTGCAATGAGGTTGTGCAAAACGTAAGCTGTGCTCAATCGGGTTTCATTGCCTCATTATGTATTTAATATTAAATATATTGCATAATATAGGTAGGTATATGTATGTAGGTATTGTGATATTATGATTTTTTAAAACGACCGACGTAGGGCTCCTCCTTTGCAAGCCAAATTTCAGTACTTATTTTTGCAAAATATACGTGGCGCACATGTCGTTTTATGCTGCACAAACCGCAGGATGTCCCGCGGTATGGAGACTTTTTATGGGGGTCGGGCCAGGGAGAGATAATGGCCTTTCCATATTGCACAATATTATTCCAGTCCACACCACCTACCCCCCCCCCCGCGATACTTTGTGACCTGCAAGTCAACCGTAGACCGCGGGGCACTGTCTGTGCGTAAGGTGCAGCTTTATTATATTGTCGTTACACAACGTGATATATTTAAGCGCTTGAAAAGTTTCCTTGAAATTTACATTGTTAGATTAAGTTGTAGGTACAGCATAATATTTTGTTTTCGTAAAACGTAATATATCTCATATATTATGTATAGTTATTAATTATTCGTATAAGTTACGGTACAACGAATTTTATCCTCATCACTTGTACATTACGCACTTTATACATTTATTCACAAAAAAAAAAAAAACACAAAGTAATCAAAAATAAAAGTAGGTATAATAATATTAATAATATTATGTTGTACTTGTACACCAACATGCTACTGCATATTGCCATATTGGTAATGTTTTTTGCTCTTAAGTGACCATAAACTACATACTTATACTAAGGCAGGGTGTATTTGATTTAATGAGGGTACAATGAGGGTACATGGAGCACAAGACGTAGGTAGTTCGTATGCATACTTCTCGTTTTATATTTGGATGCTCAAAGATGATGAATATTTTATTTTTTAATTGACCTAGAGAATTACACATATTTTACTTAACCTTCAAGTCGATTGATTCGTAGAGGAATAGTTAGTAAATTGTAGGTTATAATGGATTTTATTTTCAATGAATTTTTGATAAATCACTTTTGTATGCATATTATATTATAATAATTTACTAAGAAGTTTAAATATACGGCGTATCCAGCGAAAAATTAAATAATGACGGTGATTTACCCTTTCCTAAACATGTGCACGAAGTTTGGTAACCCTAAACAAACAAAAATATATTCGTTTTTCTTAAGCCAACAAATCCCTAAGGCTTTCTTTAAAGTGCAAAAGTGTTGAAATTTTGCTTTGAGGTTCACATCCTCGAGTATACAGGTAACCTATGTAATACATTTTAGAACTATGAGAGACCTTGGCAGTAATCATAGACTTGGCTATGGATCGCTCATATACAAACACACACAACCAAAAAAAAATTAATTTTTATTAATATAGATTGGGTATTTTTACTATCTATAATACTTTGTGAACGAGTTTAAAACGTCAAGATAGGCTGCGAATTTTTCTCATTCTTTTCGAGGCTTAAACGGACAATTATAATTGAAAAGTATAGTGTGTGCACACAATACATAATAATATAATGTTTAAAATCGTTCAATCTCTAAGCCGAAAGTTGTTGGTCAGTGTAAATGTTATAAATCGGTTCGTTTTATTCGAACATTGGTTTTTTATTTCACCTTTACGATTTCAGAAGCTAACAATAAAATTCGACTGCGTTCGACGATTATGCGAGATTTTTATGTACTGCAGTCAAATTCAGGATACCCGTTCTCTCCATCTCACTCTTCTGCCATGAAATAGTTGCAGTACAAATGTAATTACTTTAGCTTTTTTGATGGCCACTTTTTTTTTCTTTTTTCTTTTTTTTTCTAGTAAGAAATATTACATTTTATGACTTTTACTAGGTACGTTTTCTTCGAAACACTGTGTCACTATAATATGTATCATATAAAGCCAACCGAAATCAGAAAACCCACTTAGGTATTATCCGAATCAAACAACCCAGAACAAAATATTTTAGACACGCTTTCATCTTTCCAAACTACGTATTAAATAACTCCTTTCAAGAGCCATATCATAGTGTTATCAGCCCACGAATATAACCAATCAATATATTATTTTGAATGTCTTGAATGCGTTTCATATATTATATTGTATAGATGGTTTTACTACCCCACCCCCTTCTCATCAATGATATTAATCTAGATCTATACCCGACGTCAGTTTCGATCTTAAAACTTTGTCTTTTATAGATCTATGAATAGTCTACACTTAACAATATATAACATAGTCTAAATAGTCTACATAGTATTGATATTATTATTTTATGAAAAAAAATTTTTAAAAATATTATATATTATAACATAGTTAGAGTTATTTGCATTATTTATTATATAATATTTTATACTATATGTCTATATCCATATGTTTAAGTCTGCAGATTTACCGATAAAGGTGAAGTAAAAAATGTGGAATCTGCTGACATTAAATTTATATTTAAAGTACAATAAGTGTCTTTTTTATGACATTATGACTGAATGTGTGTTTGAACACGAACACGTTTTCCACATAAAAATAATATATTATTTGATATATTTTTATTTGTCTGAATTATTTGCGTTTTATCATATGTTTTATTTTAATATTTGACACCTAATAGTCAAGACTTGGCAGTATTTTGAATCTTTTGCGTTATTTTTCTGAATATAAATGTGTGATCACCGGGTCACTGTAGAGCTGATTATGAGTTATGTCATATATACATCGTTTTCACGACCTGTTCTTTTTCTTTTTTTTGTCATCGAGTAAAAACGTATATAAATATATATAAATATATAAATATATATATATATATATATATATATATATATATATATATATATATATCGCCTACGTGGATTTTATAGAGACGCGTATAAGGGATTTACAGGGGTTTTGCGCCTCTCTCCACAAAGCCTCTGCCCGATCTTTATGACGGAATTGTTTTACGACTTAGTGGTCGATCGAACAATAGGAAATTATTATATAAGAGAAAAATACAACGCATATAATATAACAGCAGACGAAAAGAGAAACCCTTGTGGCACATTTACAGCTAGTTCACTAGTGTGGCGTGGCGTTAAAATTAAAGCCATTATATTATGTATTTTATACCACCAGACGGCACTATTTCAAATACCCTAACAAGTAACATTGTGGATTTCATCATACTAACAACGAAGTATATACACGAATTCTACCCCGTTTTCAAAATGGACTCGTTAAAATGATTAGAAAAAAGAAAACGGTGATGTAATCCCGTGCGTGAATGTAAAAATATTTACAATTTTGTATGAGCTTTCCCGAATCTCCTTGGAATCTCCAATGCATACATTAATCTTGTTTAGCGTGTTTGTGTGTGTGCAGTCCATAAACGTTTTACTTTATATACAACATTTTTTGTACACTAAAAAGTCATTAGTATATGTACCCTGACAATGAAGTTTATTCTCTTAAAAAATGTGTATGAACCTAACATCAAAATTAATTTTCAAACATTATTTCATTTTTTGTTTTTTAATTACGAGTGAAATAATATTTTAACCTTACAATGGATCATATTATAAACTAACCTTTTATACTAATATACATAAAGCGAGTCATTAACATATGTGTATACAGTATACACGTTATTTTATTAAATATATATACATAATAAATGCAGTGATTAAATAAGTACACAACACAATATATATTATTATACCTGCTGAAATTATTTTTTTTAAATTGTATTTAAAAACACAACCCCACACTGTACACTTGACTACTCAAGCATATCATTATGAAATGTTTTACTTAGAATTTTACTACAGATTGTGAAAAAAAAACATAACTACCAACATACATTTACATTATATTTTTAAAAATATTTATGAATGATTTTGAGCGAGTTCACTCATAAATGACAATTATGAATATAAAATCTAAGCCTTTTAAAATGATTCATTATTACTTATTTGTTCATATTATTGAATAGTATCTTTACATATAGCTAGATATTCTTTAGTTTAATAGGTACTTTAATATATGAGTTAGAACTTCTTCATAAGGTAATTAAAATTCCGAATTATCATAATTTTTTTTTAAATTTAAAATATATTATAGATATTATTTCAGTAGAAAATCAATAGTTTTCATATAATAAAAACTTTTATTATTACTCCTGGTTTTATTAATTAGATAATTAAAAATTGAATCAATTATAATATGACTTTATTAATATTTATAAAAGTTAAAAATATGTATTATTTTAAATTAATGACCAAATCAATATTTTTCAAATAGTATAAAAGCTTTATTTATTTATTATAAGATAAAATAATTGAAAATTTAAATATTTTGGGATGTTTTAAAAACAAAAAAATATTTTTGTTCTAAGGTAGGTATTGCAATTGATATTCATGTATCTTGTTATTTTTAATTGTATTTTATATTATAATCGAATTTGACATTTTAAGAAATTAAACTCTGATTCCCGTTTTAAAATTGTTTCATTAACATTGTTAATTTATAATAGTTTATACAAACGTTGGTACAATATTATCTAGTAATTACCTACTGAACGAACATTCTGAACGTTATAAAGATATGAGATATAGTAATATTATTAAGATTGACGGAAGATAATAACCATTTTTTTTTTTTTTATTGTGAAAGGGTATAATATTTCAGTAAGTACACCTTGTACATATATTATTCTAAGCTAATAAGTCAAGGCGCGTTATTAGACAGTTTAAAAGTCGTTTTCCGAATAAACAAAAACATAATAATATAAGAAATTGTAAGGCACGTCAAATACAAAAATAATATGCAGATACCCATAGTATTAAAATTACATAATCAATAGTAAAAGTAAGGTGGGTAAGATAAACTAATATTGGTTGAAATTCAGAGCGCTTAATCGTTTTAGAAATAACGTTATCCCCGTATGGTTGTACACCAGCTTGGGTAGTATTTAATATACAGGGCCAACAACATATTAATATTATAATGATTAGGTATAAACATGGATCAAAACGCACTTGGGGTTCGGGTCGGACGAATAGAGGCCGAGGGCTGGTAGTCTCGTCCTCGACTCTGGCCGTGGTCGTCGATGTGATATCAGCCACTGCTGTCTTTAAACTAAAAAAAAAAAAAACAAAATCCTTAGCCTTTGGATTCGCACGTGGATATCATAATAATACATGTAATATCAATGGTAATAAGAAAAGTCAAGTGTACTCGACTTGCCTCAACGAGTCTGGTGCTTTGGGCGTGGATGGGGTCTTTAGGTGCGTGCTGCTGCTCTCCTCGTCGTACTCGTCCTCGTGCGGAAGTGGCGTTAGGCGACCAGACTGCCTAGCTGCCCGACCGCGAAACGAGCTCATCCGCAGCGATTGCCGGAACGACTGTCTGGCCCTGTCAACTGAAATTATAATACGAAATCGGATTTAGATTTTTCGTGATCCACCGCTGACAGAGTCGGTAAAAAAGCGATCGGGATCACATTGTTATTATCATTGTTTTAGTATGATTCATTTACATATGATATAATATAATTACTAATTAGGTACACAACAACCAAACACTTGTGTAATATAAAACGGTCATCTGCAGCAACATAATAGGTATTATTATTTAAACACGCTAAAACACACATATTATACACACACAAACGTGCATACGTCATATCGTATTACAGAACTGCGTTTATAATCATTACATTTACTCAGTCTAGATGCCGGGTCCGGTTGTTCGACCGGCGACGGAGGAGACGTGAGGTCTTCGAAGTTGATGATGTACAGACATATATCGTCCACTTCGCTCTTCACGGGGGCAATCACCTCGCTGCACAGGAATTTTGATCCTGAAACCAAAGAGAAAAGGACATTTTTTTTACAAACTCAAATTACAAAGCCACAATTCCCACAATATAGTATATTACATAATATGATATCATGTATGGGATAAACGCATTGCAATTTTAACACTATTATAATAATATGTCTATACGGTGTTTTTGGCCAATAAACTCTTGGCACAATTCTAAAGGTCACGATCATAAATTTCAATACGACCTTTCCGTAGTGCATCAACCTCGTGCACGACGAGAACAATAAAAATAAAACCGTTTTTAATGTTAATAACTGTTAATATCGTTTTATCGAATTTTGGCAAAAATACCACGACGGTCTTTAGTTCTATTTCGACTATAAATTCAGACGTTTCCAATGTTTAACAGATATTGGCTCTTGTAAATGAAATTACGAGCAGTTAAGAATGTATGCCATTCCATTGTTCTTGTCGAAATCTATTGTTTGTAATAATAATTGAGACATTATTTAGTTTTCTATTTTATGTACATCTATTTTATTATATCTGTTTGAATGTTTTTACATAAATTGGACGTGTAGAAATATATTCAAAATAACTTATCGAAATTAAATGTACTGCCACATGACAAAAATAAATCTATAACACATTTGTTCTAATTAAATAAAACAACATTTCTCACTCTAATATTGAAATGAAAAAAATTTCGATTTTACAAACATTGCTATCAATATAGCCATATAGGTATAATAGATTACAACCTATACGTCATTATTAATATAGTAGGAATATTAAAAACAGACGTTAAGTAATATTATAATAGGTAATAATACATTGCTACAAAATGTTTTTTAAGTGTTGATGATTAAAGCTCAAGCAAAATTGTACGTAAAACAAGTTGTTCGTCACTTGTTCTTAAATCATGAATGAGTATAGAACATCGGAGCAAAGAAAAAACACAAAAAGCTGTGTTATTTTTATGATCTTTGAAGTAGGTACAAGTTAAATCTGTGTACGTTTATAAACTTTTCTTCTTATTTTTTTAACTGGCTTAAAATAAATTTCCGGTCGAGAGGGAATATAAAAAGCTGGTTATTTTCATAAGATATATAACATCTGGCGGCGGTCGCTCTGTGTTCAACTCGATGTCACGATAATATAATGTTTTACAATAACCCACCAACAATATAGTATTATAAATATTATGTCTTACACGTCAAACGGAGTTGGGATTAAAATAAATAATATAATACCGTTTGGCGTGATCTCGTGTTTGGCAGCAGGTATGTTCGAGCGCGATCTTCCGATTAAATTACTGAGCTCAGTGGTCGATAGGAATGCTTCCTATTTTTTACATTTTTATTTGCATGTCTCATCCCCTGCCACCGTTTATTTTGAGCCACTTGACCGCTGACTTCACATCGTATATTATTATTCTTCGCTTCGACATACGCACTTAACGTTTTTTTCCCAGGGGTGGTTCTTGACAGGCCATAAAGGGGAGGGGGGCTAAAATATTTTGCGCATACATCTACGCATATACGTTTTGCTTATTTTACCGTCCATGTCTGCCATACGGTTATACCTAACATATTATATTATATGAAATAGTTTTTATATTTTATATGCAGTTATTTTTATTTTATTTTTTTATTGGATAACCCGCGGCAACTTAGGCCATCGGGTGTGCGGACTGGGGAGGGAACTGTGGATTTTTAGATTTTGTAGGTTGGTACACGTGTTGTGTTTGGACAGAATTTCTAACGGGGCACCCGTAGGTTTCTGCCATGCCCCGGATGGTGGCACTTGTTCTCCGGACACCATGACTTGCCCGAAGAAAAATGCCTCCCGCGGCCGGTATCGAACCAGTGTTAATCCGCTTAGCCACTCAGTTAATGTTAATGTTAAAAGACATATTTTATGACATTTTATGACTTTATTAGAGTTACTACGTATTTACACGGGCCAAGTGGGAAATCACCCTCCCCCAACCAATATAAAACCACCACTGATTTTTTTCCTCCGACGTATAAATTATACATCAGCATTATAATATTATGATACGTACACCTGTGCAGTGTGCAATATTTTCGTTAAACGGGTAATTATTATAACTATACGGATGGGACACAGCGGGCGTGTAAATATTGAGTACCAAAGGTAACCGCACATATCGCAATTGGATGATTATGCACAATATGTCATTTATTCGCGTGGTCGTGTCCAATACATAATATTACAAACGGTTGATGTGGGTCAACTGTTAATGGTTCACTGTTATTATACAAGGTGATCCCGGTCCATAATCCAAATGTCTATACCGATCGTTTCAAAAAATATTGACTTATTGAAAATATTATTTTAAGTCTTCGCAAGACCCAAAGTTTTTGAAATATATAATCTTGTATATTATAATATAAGATATAATATTTTAGATATATTTTAGATATAAGATTTTACAGATTATAATCATTAACCAATGTCTTATTTTCCAGTTTCTTACTTTTTTGAATAACAATACACATTTTCGAGTATTTTCATTACATTTTTTGGAGTTACTACTTTGATACATAAAAATCGAATTTCGAATAAGTAGTTATTTAATTAATACACTAATAATTATAATTTTAAGTGTAATTTAAAGTTTTGTTGAGCTGAGTGGTGGACCAATATTTTGAGCGTAAATTATTCTTGTGCCACTCTACTCACCACTCTACTCGCTGCTCATCAAAAACTTTGAGTATTTATAACTAATTTACTACTCGTTTAAAATTTGGTTTCTATGTACTTATCGTGAAATAAGTAGTTCGAATAATAAATAAAATAATAATAATAATATTCTACATGAGATATTATGAAATCTACAGAATTGTATTTCGTCATTCAAAAAAGTAAGAACTTAGAGAACGATATAATAATATAACAATTAGACATTATTTTTAAAAAACAATATTGTTATCAATGGCTTTAAAGTTCAAATTATTTAAAAACAAATATATCTATATTTTCAAAATAGTTAAGACATTTTGTAACAGCGATGAGTGTATGTACAGAAACTTAACGGATCACCTTGTAAATATACCTTATTATACCTAAACATTATAATACGTATTATTATACAACGGATGATTGGTCAAAATTTAATATCGTATAATTATGATCTAGACGCAGCGGGATGTTAAATATTAGCTTTTTACCAACCCTCCCTCCCCCCCCCGATACAGGCCAACACCACCTATACCATACACACACACATATTTGACTACCTATGTACAACGCCTACCTTTCACGCATAACGCGCGCCTTATTCAACGTATTTTATAATCGGTTACCGCAACACGCACACACCGCACAAAATATCATGTACAAACTCGCAAACGCTGTGCATTGCACTGGTGTTTTATCCACGATATATATGCGTATACATATTGTATATACTATATACATATTTGTATATATATGTATTTATATCTATATAAATTGTATTTAAGCGGCAGGTGTGTAAAGACCCTCGTTGGTGTAGTCGTTGGTGGTAGAGGGGGATGTGGAAGGGGAGCGACACACAAAATGGTGGCAGCCTGGAAACGCAATGAACGCGTATATAATATAATAAACCTATGTATATATTACTTGTATACAGGGTGATCCAACCACACGCTCATCCCCTTTTCATTGATCAGAGTGTTATTATTGTAATTTTTAAATTCACTGAAATGCCCTATATTTTCAAATACTTTTTTAGCCGTTTTAGTAGTGTCTTGCAAACTATCCTCTTCTACTGTACATGTCTACGCAGATGATATTTTGAAAAATGTTAATTGATGCATCCATATCAAAATTATTTGAATAATTAGTATTTTTGAGTACCTAATACATTTATAATAATTATAGTCCTTAATGAATAAATAATATTTCAATAAATTATACAATTGTAATAAATTAATATTAATTACAATAATGATTATTACCTATAGTTATTTTGAAATCATAGTTTATAGTCGAAACCTAATAATATCATGGACTATAATATTATTCTTAGTAGTTGGGGTTTAATAACTCAGAAACCGTTCATCCGAATTTTGATTTATATACACCAATATTTTCAAAAAAAAAATCATTCGCTCAACAGTTTTAAATATAACAAAAAAAAAATGGTTGCTATTATTTGAAAAAAGAAGTGTGTGTAGCGCCACAGGTCACCGCGGGTCAATCTAATAGCTAGTATTTGAAAATATTATAGTCTATGTAAGTACCGTATAATTTATATATCAGCCAGCTGATAATTCAAAATTTCAAAAACCAGAATTCGAAGAGATTCACTTTAGAGACGGGGATGAATGTGCTTGCTGAAACACTCTGTATATGTATTATAAGTGTGTTTGTGTGTGTGTGTGTGTGTGTGTGTGTGTGTGTGTGTGTGTGTGTGTGTGTGTGTGTAGTGTAGTGTGTGTAGTTGTGTAGTTCCGAGTCTTATACGCACGCGGCTAGCGGATAATACGTACGTCAATAGCGAAACGTACAACGCGATTCACTGCCAGAAAGAGAGATTATTTCATTTTTCGCGTCCTTTCCCGTTTAATTTCCGACGCGGTTCGTTCCGTCCGGACTCGAAAACTTTTGTCTCTCACCGCCGCCGCGCACCGTAACGCATAATATAACCCCGTAAGAGAAACGCTCGACGATTGTCATCGTCCCAGTCATTGTTCGCACGCTTTGCAGTATTTTCATTTTTTTTCAACTGCAGCAATACTCGTATACACCTATACACAAACGGGCACGCATTATATTCCATTATTGTACAACTGTTACTGTAATGTTGGCCCAGAAATAGAGATTTTTATTGGACCTCTAGGGTGCAATGGAAAAAAAAATATTATAATATTCAATTTTATTAAATAAAAATGTAAAATATATTTTTTTCACACATGAAAATTTGCCATAACGTTTTACTTTACTATACTTACATACGTGATGCAAATAATAATAATGATAATAATAACAGTATCGCACAGTTTTTACGGCTAGATTTTTTTC